TGTCGGAAACCGCCGCCCAGCCTTCCCCCTCCCTCGAAACCCACCCCTTCCCTTCCCTTCCCTTCCCCCACCCCCACCCCCACCCCCGAAAACCCCTCCCTCTCTCCCGAAAACCGCCACACAGCCCTCCCCTTCCCTTGAAACTCACCCTTTCCCTTTCCCCACCCCCGAAGACCCCTCCCCCACCCCTGTTTCCTCCGTCACTCCCCTCTCCCCCGCCGTTTAAAGTCCCCTTCCCTTTCGTTTTCGACCCGAATCCCCTTCCCCTTCGTTTTCTCCGTTTCCCCCTCCCCGTCGTTTCCACCCCCTTCCCCTTCGTTTTCGACCCAAATCTGGCCTCCCTTCCTTTATCCTCCCCCAATCCCGCTGCCATTAATGGTGGCTGCCGTTAAGGGGTGGCTGCCGTTTTGGTTGGCTGGGTTTTTTTTTTTAATTTTGTTTTTTTATTTGACTATTCATGTAGTGTCACGTGTCCAAAACAATCTAACACACAAATGTTGACCGGATTAACCGGTTGCAGGTAAGTTGGGTGCAATAGAAATTAATACCCCATAAAGTTGGGAGTGATAGATAATAAACGAAAGTTCGGATTAATTTGGGCGGACGAGGCAAAGTTCATATTAATGGGAGCAATTTTTCCTTTTTATTTTTTAAATTCTAATCTACGTTATGTAGCATTGTTGTATTTAGAAGGCGAGAATTGGTCAAGTCTTGGGTGGGGATTAGGTGGTGGTATTCAAGTGGGGGTGGGGCGGGGATGGTTCAATGAATAAAGTTTAAAAAAACGAGGAGAAAGTGGATAAAATACATTCTAATATACTTAATTTTTTTAAAGAAAAAAAAATTGTGTAATATTAACAATGAATTTTTTATTTTTTTAAATTATAATCTATGTTGTGTAGTATTGTTGTATTTAGGAGGCGGGAGTCTTGGGTGGGATAGATATCCAAGTGAGGGGTGGGACGGGGATTGTTTTAGAATTGTACCCCCCGTGACGGGGATAAGGATGAATTTTAAACTTGCTACAGAGATAGGGATGGGGATGATTATATTAGGCAGGGATGGGGATGAGAAAGTCAACATCCGCATCATCCCGCCCCGTTGACATCCCGACTATAAAATGGGACGGGAGGAAATAGCTGCTTTCACCCTGGCGGCCCAGCGGACCTACGATTACATTGCATGTCCATATATATGTCTATCTCATCAACCAAGATATTTTTATCAATTGGCTCAGAGTATATAACCTGTCAACATAAATATTTTTTCTGAACACGTTTAAATTTTTAAATGATGGTGGATTGGTGGACATTACAATTATACAAACAATATGGTGACGACAAGGGGTGAGCCACACCAATTGCTATGATTGCGACACTTATATGTAAATACGTAAAAAATAAAAAAAAAATTAAAAAAAAGGCTTATTTGTGGGGTGTCCAATTGAAATCCAAGTATTATTATCAATTAAAGGTTTGTTTATATTTACTTAATTTCAGTTCAGTTCAGCTCCAATTAGTTCAGTTCAATTCAGCTCAGTTTAACTCCTATCAGTTCAGTTCAACCCAGCTCCAATCAGTTCAGTTCAGTTCAGCTCAGCTTAGTTCAGTAAATGTGAATAGACCCTAAATGTGTTACATTTTGAGACTCGTGGTGCGCGCTAGTTGCATTATTCTTCGTATATTTATATTGGCTTTCTTTAAGGTCTATAAGTATAACTAAAGTAATTACCGTTGATGTCATTACTTTCCACATGTCAACCTTCTTTTAAAAAAATTTCCGCCAAAACTAATAATGACATCATTATTTTTTTCAAAATAAATGAAAATTTGAAAATGATAAATGATTATACATTTCTCTAAGAGATTTTATATTTAAATTGACTAATTTTGCAATTTTGATTGGAAAAATCAAAGGAAGGTCATACTATTTTATTTTCTTAAAAACATTATATTTTTCTCCTACTCCGTATATTTTATACTGATTATATGAATTGGGGCTTTCACTCTTTATTAATTTCTCAATTTATTAGATGTTGATTAAATTATTTGTACTACGTACATATTACACACATATAAGCTAAATAATATTGTTAAAATTGTAAAATAATATTTAAATCGTGCATCGCACGAGCCTAATCTAGTTGCCAATTATAGTTATACCAGTAAAAAAAATATAGTTATTGTAGACACCCATTTGTGTCTCCCCAAAACCAAACCCAGTGATGAGTGTCTTTCACGTCGAATCATGATCGAATGAAACGAAAGTGTGAAAAGGTCTAGTGTTGCGGAAAGTTTTAATTCTTTTCTCTTCTTCCTGTTTTTGAAAACTTTATTTTAAGAAAACAGCCAATACAGTTTGGTTGGTCCATGATATGGGTCCAATAGTGGTGTAGTTGAATGGGGCTTGCAAAGACCTTTCCAGCGATATATTATAAGCCCAATTCCGATGAATATTGAGGAAGTTATGACCAATTTACTAAATTGGGCCCGGTTTGAGCTTTAAGTACGGCCCAATGATCTAGGGGAGGGCCTAATATAATTTATCATTTCTAATGCAATTAGGAATGGTTTTAGTCTTCTAGAATATTCTAGAAGGTCTTATCATTCTTAATTCAATTAGGACTCTTCAGAGTTTTAATCAAGATCAAATAGCATTTTCGACTGAAATTATATTATTTTATCTTTCAGTACAGTAAAATTATTGGATTTTCGAAAACGCGTTGAAATCCAAATTGGCGTCCAACCCCAGGCCTTGGCACCTGGAATCAGGATTGGCGCCAGACGCCAGCCATTGGCGCCTGGCGCTAGCCACTGGTCCTGGCGCCAATGAGCCAGGCTGGCGCCAAGTTAGTTTTGCGGTCTTCAGACTCTGTTTTGATAAATTATCTTTTTTGGATGATTTTCTCTCTAAATATCGTATCAAAAATTCCGTTTTCAATCATCATCTACATCTATCGTTCACCAATTCTCTTTATTCTTAAGTATCTACCAACTATCGATTAACAATAATCAACTCTCTTCATTCACAAAATTATTCACTAATTAGCATTCATCTACATCATTCATTCATCAATTTTCAATAACATTAATTCTTTAGCATTCTTTCTTCCTTGCTTTTTTTATACAAAATTCCGCATTCACAAGATCTTGATACACCTAGCCATATTCGAAGTTGCCTTCGCCCTAGACGTGAAAGGTTTTAATTTCTGAGGGTTTGGTCCCAAATCTCTATTTCAATTATTTAATTTACTTGTTTTGATTATTATTTTCCTTGAAGTTACTAACGTGTGTATTTTGTAATTAGAAAGAGGTACGAGGCATCCAAGTAAGTACTTTAATTGATTTTATTGATATTGTGATGTAAAAATCATGTTTATATTGTTATTTTGATTCCTAGTATCATGTCTAGGGTATTTTTAATATTAAATATGATTGTCATGATGCCTTTTGTTCTCTTCTAATATTTATGATGATTATGATTATGATTGATTATTGATTATTTATTATGTTGCTTGATATGCATATTATTTTATATTGTTATTGCTTGATCACCTTTTATTGCATGTTAAAGGGAATTGGTACTTACAATCACGCTTAATAAGATAATTAATAATCTTGTTAGGTTAATTGTGATTATAATTCAAGTGATCGCCAATAATAGTTTATTTGTGCATTAAATTCAACCAACATAGATTAAACAGGTTTAGGGTTAATCTATTGATTGTATGTTAGTCAGAAAGCGCACATGAATACGAGCAGAATAAAGTAGAGGCCTATTATTAGGGCAGGTTCAATCTCTTTTAGGTTGGATTTGTACCATCATCCCCGAACCCTTATTTGGTTCATGACCTTATGGAGTTGGCGATCTCTTGGATCGTTAAGGGGTGTAACCTTCATCCTATGAACGGTTTACAAGTTCCTTAAAAACTTGTTGGCGACTCTTTTGCTCTATCTTCTTCCCTTTTGGACGCCACCGTACTTTAGTGTATGATCACAGTGGGGTTCAAGCTAGTGGGATTTTAAAGGCTTGAAATTATTCCCTACAGTTATAGACTGTTAGCAACTTATTATATATGGAGTAGTAAATATTACTCCGTAAAATCTAGATATCTAGATTAATATATGATTTTTTTTTTCTTAGAAATTATATATATGAATCTTTTGTTTTTCTTTTTTTAAAAACAATGTTATTTTCCTACCAAAAAAAAAATTACAATTTTAAAAATAATTGGAAATAATCATAAATTCTAATATGTCACGGTGGTCAGTCATCATAAGGGTTATTTCGTTTAGTATTATAAAATTTATTCGGTTAGTGTTTAGGGGTTACTTTATTAGTGTTAAAGGGATCAATTCGTCAATGATATAGGGGTTAATTAGCCAATATTACAAGGCCCTCTTTTTTCCAATCCATTTCCTCCACCACCGCGAACCTCAATTAGATTCAGGAATGATACACTTTTTAGTTATTGGAGGCTATTAGTCTACATAAACCTAATGCAATATTGATTACACTCCTTCTCCTTATACCCAAAAAAATGTCAGCCTGAGGAAGAATAAAGGAATATCTTGTCGGGGGAATCGTATCTGTTTCAGAGCACATGATTAGGTTTGGACTCAATGGAAATGGAGCACCTAAAAACGCATCAGAACTACAAGATCACCCCTTTCATTCATTCTGGGGTAACGGATGGATAGTACCATTCGAGCCTTTTTTCATGCTTTCCCAAAGGTATAGAGAAAATTGCAATCAAGAGGATTTCCCTAATGCTCCCTTCACGAAAGAAAAAAGGACTCAAAATTCTTTCTAGAGAAACAGTGGCGGATCTAGGATTTTCAACAAAGGGGGGCACCAATATCTACCAACATATAAAAGGATATAGACGAATTTTTTTTTTTTTTTTTTTTTAAAAAAACTTCTATTCATAGAGGTAAATTCATAATGTAATAAAAAATTTCGATCATAACAAAGTTCTACTTGAAAAGTTACAATTGTTCTCATCGATTTTTCATATTTTGGAATCGGTTTACGATAGCATCTATGCCTACATTCAAAAACAAATCTTTTTCTAGACTAGTAACCAAACAATTAATCAACAACTGATCTCCCATGCTATTGCGCAATTTGCTTTTAATTTGAGTCATTCCTGAAAAAGCTCTTTCAACACTTGTTGTCGCCACAGGGAGAAGCAACACTAACTTCAAAAGCAGGTATACTATCGGATGAGTTTCATTCTTTTGTGTCTCAACAAGTTTCATGGAAAGCTCATTAAGGTTCTTCAAATTCAAAAATTTCTCATCACTTTTTATATCCACAATAAAAAATTTTAAGTGAATCTTCCATAAAAGAAATTTCAACACTCGAAAATTCATTGGGATAAAATTTAGCAAGTCGAATCAATTTGTTAATGTCAAAAGAAGAAAATTGGTTAATGGGATTGAAGCAAGACATGCATATAAGTAATTCCTTACTTACCTCGTCAAATCGATTATTAAGTTCTTGCAATTGTAGATCAATGACACTTAGAAAAACTTCGACTCGAAAATGGTGAAGATTAGTCACTTGTGGCCTACCACCACGAAATTGTCGTCTCCCTGGGACAACATACTTTTCCTCCATGTTAGGAATTTCAATGTCATACTTAACCATAAATGTGGTTACTTTTTCCATGTGAGAATCCCAACCATCATCTCGTAACTCTTGTAAATGTCTCTTAGTTACATCCTCCATTGTCATTGCATTCACAATATCTTGATCACTTTTTTGTAATGCCATGTTCAACTCATTTGTAATAGAAAATATACTCTTCATCAAATGTGCCACAAAGATAAAATCAAATGTCATCAATAAGTGAGTAAGTGACTCAGCTTTATTCCTATCAACACGACCAGAAATAGCTCAAATGTCATCAAGTGACTCAAGAATCATGGGATACATATTAAGCACATTCAAAATGGTTCTAAATTGAGAACCCCAACGAGTATCGCCGGGTCTACTCAAGCTACGCTCCTGATTTAAACCAGTTCCCGATTCAAGTTCACCCAAAGTTAGTGCCTCCACAACATGTTCAGCCTGTTTTTGTCGAAGAAATTCTTTTCTCTTAGGTGAACCACCTACAAAATTTAATAATGGTGCAAGCACATCAACAAATAGCCACCCACAATCAGCATTATTCTTAGCTACGGCAACAAGAGTCAATTGGAGTTGATGGGCAAAACAATGAACAAAATATGCTGATTCAGATTCACTTTTAATTAAAGTTTTAAGGCCTTTAATTTCACCTTGCATATTGCTGGCACCATCATAACCTTGACCACGAACTCTAGAAAAAGTGAGAGAATGCCCCATAAGTAAAGATTCTATTGCAGCTTTTAGTGTTCGTTAGAGATTTGGTATCAGCAACATGGATAATACCAAGAAAGCGCTCAGTCACCTCTTCTCTTTTATTTATGTATCGCAAACAAAGAGCCATTTGTTCTTTATCAGAGATATTAGCAGACTTGTCAGCAAGAATAGCAAAAAAATCACTTCCCAATTCATCAATTATTGCTTTGGTTGTTTCTTTTGCACAAGCATTAATGATGTCTTTTTTAATAGTAGGAGATGTCATTTGAGAGTTACCCGGAGCATTTTCAAGAACTACTTGTCGAACATCAAAATTTTCAGTTGCAAGAAATTTCAGAAGTTCTAAAAAATTACCTCGATTCGACGAAGACTCGCTTTCATCATGACCACGTTGGGGTAACCCTTGAAGTAATAACCACCTCAAACACTTAATAGAAGCTTGTAGTCTCTTTCGATACTTACTCATAGTATCCTCAATTTGCTTAGATAAACCAGATGTAATGGAACCCTTCTGATTTTTAAAAGCATTTAAATTCCCCATAGCTTGACTGTGGGCACTCATATGTCCTCCAATATGCTTATCATATGCATCTGTTTTATTCCAAGCTCTAAATCCACCACTTACAAAAGCATCTCCACCCGGTGAATTTTCATTCTTGAATAAATAGCAAGGAAAACAAAACGCTGCATCCTTTTCAACACTATGCTCAAGCCTAGATTTATACTTTTTAAACCAATTAGGGTTAAAACGACGCATTTTCTGCCCAAAAGGTCTTTAAGAAAATTCATAGTCTTTAGGCTGGCAAAATTTTCTTTGAATATATGCTCTCCTAACAAGACCCCTATCATCCGGATGAAACTCATATATCTTTTTTCTTAGTCCTGGATCATGAGGAAGATTTACAACGTCAACCACAGTTAATCTTTCTTCATCGTTTGGAGCTTCAGTCCTAGGATTTGAACTAGCTCCAATTTCTGCTTCACCTCCTAAATTTTGAGGGTTATTTTCAGTTTCTTGAGATGGAGGATTATCAATTGGTTGAGAAATATCAGGTTGATTTGCTTGAGATTGGGGAGGATTAAGACTAGAGGTAGCACCAGATTCTTTATGAACTCTTTTTTAAAAAAAAACTTGTAATATCTCTTGTTTTTGTTCTCTTCATACTGTAATTTTAAATGAGTATAATTAGATTTATTTACAATTACTTTAACAAGATACAATTATTTTGTATAGATTTACAATTTATTGATAATCCCCTCATTCCCTCAAACAAATTAACAATTTACTAATAGTAATAAAGTACCACCGTAACAAATTATTAATGTGCAATATTCAACATATTATATAATTCATATCAATTTCAATTATAAAATTTATTAAAAATATCAACATTCAACAACCAAATCAAGGACAAAAATTAGAACATTAAACAATAACAAAGGATAATAAGAAAGTAACTGACCTTAATTTGGTAGATGTGACACCCACAAACAAGAAACAATACAAAATTACACAAAAATTCGGCCAATTTTCACTTTCGTCCAAACCTAAAGGTTATAACTGTTGAATAAGCAATTACTCGTATTCTTGTTTTGGGGTCAGAGGCGGATTTGTACTAGTTGTTGGGGATTTTGGGAAGTCTTAAAAATTGGGGTATAACTCACCACTGATTGGGGTTTGGTTGGGGATTTGTACCAATTGCTAAATTTTGGGAAGTCTAAAAATTGGAAATATTAGATTGTAGGGGAATAGGGGTTGGGTGTAGCCGTGTAGAATCCTAGGAAAAGTAGGTTTTTTTTTTTTTAAATTGTACTTTTAAGATTTTTTTATTATTTTTGGTTTTACTTTTAGTCATAATTGTCAGAGCCTCAAATAAAGGAAACTTACTACTCTAATGTTTTGACGGAAAATGTGGGGGCACGCTATTCAATTTCTTTTTTTTTTAAGAGTCAATAAGATATTTTTTAATAAAGGGGGGGCACGTGCCACCCAGGACACCTAGGTAGGTCCGCCTCTGTAGAGAAAGAACTTTACCTTATTACTTGAGGGAAGAACACCAGTATTTCATTGCTACATGTATGGATTATTGAAAATAATAATGTATGTATTTGGACATTTTCCTTTAACTTCATAATTTTGTATTTTTTTTTAAATTTTATGTGTTACTCGATCAATGTTTTAGGAACTACTTTGTTATTTTACAAGCAGCTACACGATGTGGCCAACCGCACACAAGACGCTTTGTAAAGTTTTATTGTACTCACATATTATATATTTTTTTCCGTTTTCTTTTAAATGCAACATACTTTCTTGACACACACTTTAAAAAAAGATTTAGTAATGTTAATGGATAAATTAATCAAAATAATTTATAAATGTAATTAATAACTCACCCTTCTCTAAGTGTTCAAATATTTAATGGGCCTTGTACAAGGCTGGCCCATTTACATACTCTTATAGTTTTATCCACAACATCATCATAAAATCGTTCAACACTTTGCAACTCTACTCCCACACACAAATACACACTTGAGGAAAGTAAGAAACTGCAAAAATGGCAGCCATGGCTGCTCTACAAAGCTCCTTTACTTCTCTTTCTCTCTCCTCCAACTCTTTCTTTGGTCAACGCCTCTTTCCTTCTCCTACCTCTCTTCAGGTATTTCCTTTTTTTCGCCTAATCTTATTTTATCTTTATATTCCTTTTCCTGGGTTCTAATTTGAATTTTTTTGACAGTGAATTTGGATAAACTCTAACTTTTGTTTTACACCTCAATTAATACTCCCTCTGTTTTTAAATACTTGCATCATTTCTTCATATGTGTAATTTTAGGAGAAATTAGAGAAGTAATAAAGTATAAAAGTAGCTTAGTGAAGTAGGTGGAAAAATAAAAAATTATATAAGCAAATTATCGAGAAGTAATAAACTATAAAACTATAAAAGTAGCTTAGTGAGAAGTACATACAAGCATATGATCTTCCTGTGCAGCTTATGCCATGTCCTAAGTACTGGGTGAGAGAATTGAAGGAGAGATAATATGAAAATAATAAAAATATAATTTATGTTGGGTTCACTAGTAAAAAAAATGAATTAAATATTTTAAAAACTTTTCAAATAAGAAAATGAAGTAAGTATTTAAAAATGGCCGGAAATAAAAAGTGAAATAAAAAATGGAACAAGTATTTTAAAATGGAGGCAGTAGTAACAAAATGTAATTACTCTAATTCATGTTTATCACAATAAAGTATGGAATTTATTTGAATTAATTAAATTTTGGAAAAAAGAAATTTTACCAAGTTTGTGTAAAAATTGAAATTTTGTCAAAATTTTAAGAAAAAAATTTGATTTAAATTTTTTGAACAAGTACCTTGTCTTTTTATTATATGAAGTGTGTACCTTATAATCTTATATGTACACTTTTGATTCAATGATTCCTAAAAAAAATAATAATAAAAAATTAAAAAAAAAGTACACCTTTGATCTTTTGAAAACGTGTGGAGAAATTACAAAAGTCTAGTTTTTCACCTAGTTTAGAGATGATATATATATATCAACACTCTTCCAAAGTATGAAACTCAAAAAATGCTTTTGTTGTTTTCTATTTTTATATAATACTAGTATACAAAATGTTACTCCATATTGGGTATCTCAACTAATAACACTACTACAAAAAATGGCAAAGAGACCCGTTGAAATATGCCTGAGAGACCGCCTCAGAACGGGTCTCTATCTCAGGGTCTCTTTGATAAAGAGACCCGTTCCTTAAAGGGGTCTTTTTGTGAGGACAAAGAGACCCGTCGTCAGTAATAGCTGGTCTGTCACATAAATTAGAAAATTGATAATTTAAAAAGAAAAAAGATCCGTTATTTGAGAGTAGGGGTCTGTTTGGTGGGTATCAAACAGACCTATCATATCAATTAACGGGTGTCTTTGTTCTTTATTTTTGTAAAAAAAAAAATAGAAATTATTTTTTGCTTTTGATATGGTTTGCATTTGAAGTTTGAATATTTCATCTCTAGACAAATTGGTGGAAAATTAATAAATTGTAAATACTTACAATACTTTAAGACCATATGAGATAGCATGGGCTAAAAAAATTGATATGGTACCCAAAAATAAATTAAAAAAAAAAAACAACATTCAAGCAAAATTAACGCAAAATATTTGAAGTCCTAAAATTTACTACTACAATTACATCAATAAGACTTGAGTATTCGGTTTTCTGCAAGTTCGACGAGCTGGAACTCTTGGTCACTCTGAATTTCGCAGGTTAGGAATTTCTGCATGGATTCATCAGACAAGGAACTGAAAAAAAAAGAACATAAGATTAGACTTAAAAACTAAATTGAATTGAGAAATAATTACATTATCAAACAATCATACTAGAAAAATACAAAGTCATCGTCGAATGAACACTTACCAAATCAATTGCAACTCTCTGTCAAAATTGGGTGTTTCCAAATTCCCAATTAATAGTGTCAATTAAGTCAATTTTGATATTGCCCAGATGTGAAATTCAAACTTAGGCGTAACTAAAGCACTTCGTAACTGAACATAAGGTTAGAAGATGAAATTAAGAACAGGGTTGTGTTTCAAATAGAAATTCAAAAACTTGAAATATGAAAACTTGAAGAAAAAAGGCTAAAAATTTCGAGAAATTTCCTTGAATGCTTAATTAGATATATTAATTGGGAGATCCCATTTAAATATTACAATATACACCTTTTAGCACGAAAAATAATTAATTCAAATACCTAATCATTTCATTCTCAGCTTTATAATTTTTATTCATAAAACATTTTTACACTACTACAAAAAATTGGAATAAAGACCCCTAATTAATAGAGGTAACGGGTCTCTTATAAGCCTTTAGGCCCACAACTTTATTGAGTGGAGTGAAATAAGAAACCCATGTAAGAGTCAACGGGTCTCTTATCTCCCTTTTCCACTTTGCATTATTTACGGATGTAGGGCCATTCTTTTGGCTCAATAAGTTTCTGAGGAATGTCGGTGTAGTGAGAAAGAAACATGTGATTATAATTAATGTCGGTATAGCTCAAGAGGAGAGATATTGAGCCAAGAGAATGGCCTTACATCCGTAAATAATGCAAAGTGGAAAAGGGAGATAAGAGACCCGTTGACTCTTACATGGGTTTCTTATTTCACTCCACTCAATAAAGTTGTGGGCCTAAAGGCTTATAAGAGACCCGTTACCTCTATTAATTAGGGGTCTTTATTCCAATTTTTTGTAGTAGTGTAAAAATGTTTTATGAATAAAAATTATAAAGCTGAGAATGAAATGATTAGGTATTTGAATTAATTATTTTTCGTGCTAAAAGGTGTATATTGTAATATTTAAATGGGATCTCCCAATTAATATACAAGGTATAACCTTAAATGATTAGGGTTTAACTAAAATGAATATGCAAGGCACATGCATGCCCTTACGGTAATGGTGTATATATTCAGGAATTCTGACATGTGGGTTCAAAATTGTAAAAATAAAGGAATGAAAATATTAGTTAAAGTCTCAATGCATAAGTTGAAATTTTGGATTACAAATGGATTGAGTACTTAAAAATTTCAGCATTGAATTACAAAATGCGTTACAAGCTAGTGGACCTTAGTTGCCAAATAACACCACTTTGAATATTTGCAACAAACCACTGGACCTTAGTTGCCAAATAAAAAGACTGGAGAATGTCATAATCAGTTAGTCAATAATATACTATGTGTGTGCTAAAAGGCATACCGACAA